ATTGATTTCAGAGAGGAAGGGAGAGGGAGAGAGAGACAGAAGCATCAATGATGAAAGAGAATCATTGATTGGCTGCCTCCTGCATGCCCCACACTGGGGATCGAGCCAGCAACCCAGGCATATGCCTGTGACCGGAATCGAACCCAGGACCCTTCAGTCCACAAGCTGACGCTCTATCCACTGAGCCAAACCAGCTAGGGCAGGAGTACACTTATTGATTTCATTTTCCTTTTGCTTTTAAGGATTTAACATATAGAGCCAAATAGGACTACCTTGTGCTAAGGCAGATGTCAGGCACAACACTTGATTTTTCTTACCAGGATATCTCATTTCCCTAGTCTCACAGTCATACTCTAAAAGAAATATTTATGCACTTAAAAAAAATAAGAAATCTAAGAAAATATTCTCCATCTCCAAGGTTGGATTAGATCAGAAGCAAGGTAGTAATCTTGCAAAGAAAGCATTGTCAAATTCTAGGGGGTATTTATTTTTATTTTGGGGAGAGGGGCCAAGAGGAAGGTTATGAGGTAAGGGAGTAGGAATTGTGACATTTATGTCAATGAGGAGTTACTTAGAGTGGATATCTTTTCTTTCAACCCGTGATGCATGGACAGGTAAAGAATAAGTTCTGTCCCTGTCCTCAGCTGTGGGTTAGTCCTCTAAGTTGAGTGCTGGGGAGCCAGAAATAAGGAAATCTGAGCCCTGACACGAGGCTCCACCCCCTCATTTTACACAAAAACTGCAGGTGTGCTGTTCCTGGGACCTATCAGACTCTGGGCTCATGAAAAAGGCTGGCTCCAGAGCCTTAAGCTGTTGACAGGCTGCTGCTATGCAGAGGAAACTCTGAGATATAACAATAAAAACAACTCACAGCACCTCAGAGTTTGTCTATAAAGAGATCTAGAACAGATTCTTTTCAACCAGGTTGGTACATCACCACCTTCCTGTTTTCTTTCTCATTGCTTTGAACTCCATTGGTGTTTATTGCTAGTGCTCTTCGTTGGGCACTCAGCATGCACTGTCTTAGATCATTTCTTATCTTTCCATGAGTACATTTTGTTGTTGCAACTATTTACTCAAGTGTTGGCTCCTTGGCTCAATATTTCGACTTTTTTTTTCTTAACCCAACCATCACTCTACTTGGTTTCAGATGGAAACTACTTGTACCTGGAAAACAGGAATACCTGGGAGAATCCCATCAAGTTCATGAGAGGTAGAATTCTTCACAATCAATTCAACTCTGTTTCATCAACAATTTTGGAGCAGCTGCTGGGGGCAGGTGATAAGCTATTGAGGAAGGTAGATTAAATTTAGCTGCACGGCATGTTGCTCATTTGTCAAATATTCAACAAGTATGTGCCAGGCGTTGTGCTAAGTGCTAGTTCTATATTGATAAGTAAAACATGATCCTCACCTTTCAAGGAATTAACAGTCTAATATGGTAAATGCTCATCTTTATCTTCCATAAAAATTCAGTAAATTCATTACTAGTCAATGCTGGATGAAAGAAAGTATGAGAAAAAGAAAGAAAGAAAGAAAGAAACAGAGTATGAGGACTAGCCACAAGTTAGTTATACATTTAGGGTTGCCTAAAGATGTTTTGTCATATTGGGATTATTTCAGTATTCTCTAGCACCAAGCATAGTGACTGGCAATTTTAGATGCTCAATAAATAATTATTAAATGAATACACAAGATATTCATAAGTACAATGTTGTAGTGGAGAATTGGCCCTGCTATCAGAAGACCTGGTTTAAGAGGACTAGAATTTACTGGCAATTCATTCAACCACTCTGAACCTCAGTCTCCTCATCTGTAAAATGGGAATAATGTCTCATGATTGACCCATCCAATTACTCTTAATTGATTGCTAGTAAAAATTACTAAAAATTTACTGAACATCATGATAAGCTTCCCTATGAGGCAGGCACTATTATCTGATACAGAAATTGAGATTTAGAGAGGGTCAGTAACTTGTTCAAGGTCACATGGTTAGTAAGTCAGGAAACCAAGATTTGATCCCAGGCAGCTTGACTGCAGAGATAGGAACATTTCACCACTTCCTTACATGTTGCCTACTATTGTGGTCAACTGAGAACGTGGATTCCAAAGCACTTCATAAATTCTAACACATCACCCCAATGTAAAATGTTCATCTTCTAATTTTTATGGTAATTACAAATTTTAAAAAATCAGCTTTTGGAATTAGGCATGGCTGGATCTGGGCCAAATTGTGTCAGTAAGACTTGGTATTTATCTCTTCCTGATTCAGTTTTCCACGGTGATGGTACTATTTTCAGGACTACTCTTTATACTTATGATTTCTAGCTTATGTTATTCACAATAACAATCTCAGTAAAAGCGACAAAAATCCTGGCATGAAATCACTTGGTTATGGGCCCTTCTGAACCAAGTACTGGTACGATAGTCAGCTTCACTCAACAATGTGGACCGAGAGAATGGGAAGAGGTGACTCCCTCAGGGAAAATCTAGATGCTATTCCCAAAGAGAGAATGTATGCTAACCAGGCAAAACCAATATGCACCCACCGGAAAGAGTAACAGAGCTAATTTCATCAGAGTGGTCAAAACATCTACACTATTTCAACACATAGAAATACCTGTGTCTCAAAAGAGCTTTCAACATTTTGTCAGTGGTTCGGTAGCAGGTGTTGCCACATCCTCACTTCTATTTCTGTTTTATCTTTGTCTGCCTTGGTCCCCAGGCTAATGCGGTAGTGATGCAACCCTGCTTGAACCTTTCTGCACATTTTCATGTACCTTGCTGTTTTTCAAAGGGCAGATTCAACTTATCCAGAAGCAGATTCATCCCCACTTGTCTAACGGCAGGTCAGGGAATTGCTCTCCAAGATTATCTAGACTCCATTCCTCATAATATGAAATCTTGTATCAAAAAGTATAGGTGAGCCTGGCCGGCATGGCTCAGTGTTTGAGCATCAACCTAGGAAACAGGAGGTCAGGGCACATGCCCAGGTTGTGGGCTTGATCCCCAGCGTCTGGCATGTAGGAGGCAG